TATCTATTGTTTTATAAGGAATGACATATTCTTTTGGCTGTGAAACTAGCCGAATCACACTATATTAGTGGTGACAAACCTCACCAAGGGCAAAGCGATGGCTGACTTTCCCGTACTGGCAGGCTCTCTGAGGTGGCACAGGGCCAGCACCTGAGGCGATTACAGAGAGATTGGCCCCATTGCCACAGTTCTGATGGCACTCTGTATAAAATTACCAGTGACACATTCAACAGCCGCATTTCAATTCACCAAAACAAATGGTTCCACCAAATCTACCGACACAATTTCCTACTTTCACTAATTCCACAGTCGACTGTCTCCGTCCAATCCAATGATATATGCCCAAGAAGCTCTGTAATGATGGATGGAGTCATTAGCACTTTAGTTTCTACACTGGACCTGAAGCCAAAGCATATGGTCTGACAGATGTTCCAGCAATAGGCTCTATTTGATTTGCCATGTAGGTGTCCACTTATACTGGACCATCAGGAAAGAATGCTAATTTATAAGTTAAAGTCCAACCCCTATTTTAATTCTTTCCCATCATCAAAAGTTATAACATGTCCTAATAACAGAACATTCAGAAGATGCTTTATCTTATATTTCAGCTTAGACTAAAACGGAAAAGTTACCCTTGAACCTGATAAAATCAGACAAGAGAGACAGAAACACTTGAAATATTTGTAGGCTATTGTCATCTGTGACTTGATTAGTACCGCCAGAAATTTGGGTATTTGATAAAATGTTTCATATACTCACTTTTTCCCTCATTCATGGTTTATTGAAGTAAACTGCATATATAGTGAATTGGATGGATCTAAACGTCTGACATATGTATATATAACCATAGACCATAGACCCAACACCCCAATAAAGATGTAAGATATTTACATTATACCAGAAAGTTTTCCCCTGTCCACTTCTGGTCGAGCCCCATGCCAGAGGCAAAGACTATTCAGATTTCTATCACCATAGATTAGTTTTATCTCTTCTAGAACTTAACATAAATGGAATCATACAGTATGTACTCTTTTATCTGCCCTCCTGAAACACAGTGTTGCTGATATTTATCCATACTGGTGCATGTATTAGTGATTCATTCTTTGTTGTTCCTGAGTAGCATTCATTCCATCGTTTGAATGAATCGCAAATTGTTTATCCATTCTCCTGTTAATGGATGTTTGGGATCTTTACAAGTTTTGCTTATTATGAATAAAATTTTTATAAACATTCTTGCTCAACTCTTTTTGTGAGTATATGCCTTTATTTCTCTCAGATGTGTGTGTGTGTGTGTGTGTGTGTGTGTGTGTGTGTGTGTGTGTGTATGGATCTGCGATGTCATATGTTAGCCATTGGCTTATATATTCACTTTTTTCTGCTTTCACTTTACTTACTATTCATATTAGTAAGAGTTGGAATAAAAAGGACATGACTACAATTTTTACCCTACAAAAATGTATAAACTGTTATCTTTCTTTGTGAGAAAATCATCTGACAATTCTCAGGAATATAACATGTTTTTATTATTTTACTCAGGAATACAATTAGTATAAGTTATACATTAGAATTTAAATTTTCATCTTATTTGCTATAACCTGTGTTTTATCCTAAGCTTTAAGTTGTAATCCACAAATTCTCTACCACTGGGGGTTCCGTCGGAACACAAAATGGCTTAGTGCTAAAACCTGAAAAACATCTGCTCGTGTATGAAAAAAATTGCAAATAGTAAGTTGACAAAAAAATGTTGTGTTTATATCTAGATATATGCTACTTCAGTGAGCTTTATGATAGAAAAGGAATTTGGAAATTCTCTAAGAGCTACTAAAGACTTTATTCTAAGTCCCTGTCTCACATAAATGAACTGTATTACACACTTTTTAAAACTATGTTCCAGAAAGCCTCGTAATTTCACCATATTTCTAGCTCGTTGACTCTCAACAGACATCTAAAAACATTCATTCATGTTTATTTATGCATTTGTAGTTCACTCAGCATATACAACAAGATTATTTTGGGTTATATTTTTTGTCATTGTTTTCTAAATGTTTAGAATGAATGACCTACTTCTAAGCCTCTATAATTACACAAGCTGAGATCTTACAGGAAAGAACACTCCCTAAAGATATATCCGGAACCACTATGATACACTTTATGAATTAACTACCTACAGCAGCTCAGGTAACTCTTTCTTTGCTTGTTTTTTGCTCTGATTTTTAATTTACCTATTGAAGCACAATATTATATAATGTAAATGATTTGGAAAACACAAAAAGTTTGTCACCATTTTTCATTCCACCTGACGATGCCAGGTATAATGGTTCCTCCATTATCCTATTACTTCTTTGATAGGATGCAGCAACCTTTCATTGAGTTGCTTAGGAGCATTCATTCTCACTACTATCAGCAGATATTTTAAGTAACTGTTCTCACAGTGATACTTAATTTAACAGACTATTTTTTCCCATACAAAACTAATAACATAAAAATTCTATACTATTGTACCAAATTAAAAAAAGGTAATCAAGTCAGTGTTTCAGGCCATCAAAAATACTATAAAGACCTAGTTGAGCGTCCTTAGCTGGAAGGGATTTTAGTCTCTAGCCAACATCTCCTTAGATAGATAAGGAAATTGAGGTTCAGAACAGTTCAATGAATTCTCTAAGCCCACAGAATTAACAGGGTTATCTGAGTAAAAGGGTTAGAATTAACGTTAGAATTAAGAACTAGACCTGATTTATAGGAAGTTGTTTTATACCAAGAAAAATGACTTGACATCTATTTGTATGGGTTGGCTTATAGATTCATCACGGAACCAAGATTCTTCCTATATTATTATGTTTCTACTACTTCGAGAAAAGATGGATCATTTTTTAAGTCACTGGCCACTTTCTGATTGACTCATTTTATATATGTATAATAATAATGTCTTATTCATTTGAAAACTTCCCTAAACTAAGTAGTTGATATTTTTTCAATATTTACTAAATATGGGAAGAAATATTTAAGAGAATAAGTCAAGGTAACTTAAGTAGTACTATTGAAAAAAATGTAGAAAAGGTTTTCATCAATAAGGTGAATATGCAAACTATGGAGGATTTCAGCAATCTCAATGTCAAAAGGAAGAAAAACATGCAAATATACCTTGATAAATGTAAACTTACGGAAGAGAAGAAATAAAGAAATCAGAATAAAAGTCTCACAGAATATTTTTCTCTCTCATCTTTGTTTCAAAATGGCAGAAGAAAATTTTTAAGAAACTATAATGAAATGAGTCCATCTACAAAATAGGAATCAAAAATGAGCAGTATTTTGACTGCAACACACTCAGACCAGCAGGCCCAGAAAGTCTTTGTTGCCAGAAGGCAGCTGGTGTCTGAGTGTACAAAACCCTTTTTGTTTTCAAGTCACATTAAATCCTGGGGCAAAAACTAGGGGCAGACTGCACAGCCTCTGGTTCCACAGGCAAGACTATCTGGATCAGATCACAATTAAATGTAAATGCCAACTGATGTTCCCACCTAAATAAAAAATTAGAAAATATGTCTGAAAGTATTTTTAAAACAATTATTTAGCCTGAGAGAGAAAAGTAAGAGGGATTCTGACTTGATGTGTAGCTGATAAAAGAAGGTACAAATTATACAACTTGCTCTCCAGGAAGAATTATCTTATATTTTAGTATCTGTAGGGGAAATGATCATAATCAAAAAACAGGAGGGGCTTCATTTTCTTTTCACAGGTTCAGTATAGTATACTGATAGCTACAAATCAAATAATTATAAAAGTACTAGTAATTAGATTTATATGAAGTACATCTGTTATCCAATTGTATCATGAGAATCCATCTACATTGTATCATGAGAATTTCACACATTTAAAACATCTCATACAATATCAGGCATTATACTAGGTATGATTTTAATAACCATTTATTATAATCATGAGCCAAACCACCTGCAAACTAATGATTATCCTAAACACTAATTTCATCTCTCTAAAGGTATAGTAAAATAAATGTTGATGTGTATTATTCAGGAAACTAACATCATCTTACAATCATTTTTCTTTTCAGTCTCTATTGACATTCTCAGAAATTTAAAATTCTAATTAAATCCCTTTCCTCATTCTGAGGTACATAGAACCAAAACAATAAAAATAACAAATGTGCTCAGAAAATACTCTTACTTACATGTTAGCTTCAAATATTTTGCTCAACCACCTCATGGCTCTGCTCTTACCCCCTTCCCACCCCCCCCTCCCAACCCCCCGCTGCCCCAGGACTGATAATCTCTGAAAACATGGTACATTTCTGAGTCTATTGTTTTCTTGATTATTCTTTTATAGGTCTTTATATACACCAGTCATATTTCCCCAACATATATGCTAAATGGCAATTCATTAAATGCATATTTATTGAGGAAATAATATATACAAGGCACACAAGTCTTAACCTAAGACTAATATATACAAGTCTTAACCTAAGATCTGTGATTAACCCTTATACACAAAAATTCTGAAAAAAAATTTAATTTGTTCTCTTCCAACTCATATTTCTAGAAATACTCCCAGAAGTTCCTTAAAATATTTTTTAAAAATGTATCCGAGTAGGACAATTCCTACTTATAAGTACTATGCTCTTGTAAGGTGAGTTTTCAAAATATTAAATGAGGAAATTTTCACTTAATTCCTACACTGAATGGATCTAGAAAAAATTGTTTTTCACAGTTTGTACATCGGAGAAAAAATAGGTTTCATTAGAAACTAATCCAAATACTTATTAACTATATAGTGTTATATTTTATTCATATTTCAAAAATAGAAATATCTGAACTGAATCTGCAGCCAATTCAGCCAATTAAATCATACCTATACATACTCCCCCCCCCGCCTCCTGCCTCCCCCATCCCCCCCACACACACATGAATGAGATGTATAGGTAGTACATTTGTAATTTTTTTTTAAATCAAGTGTGCCCTTTAGCTCAGCTGCCAACTCGGGCTTACCTGCAGCCACAACTTGTTATGCACAGCATCTCGCCCTGTAGCAATACACTGAAACGTAGCATTCTGCCCTGCATTGACCTCAACGTCCCCCAGACGGAGGAAATGAGGAGATTTATCTGTGAAGGCAAGAAAAAAATCATTGTTGAAGAAAACATGCCATGTTACTTGTTCCCAACAGGATAAGGTTGTTAATGCTTTTTTACCTTTCGCCAAGACTAATATCATACGGAATAAAATTGAGTTTTCTTTGCACAGAAAGGCACAATTTCCTCTCTCATTCTCACAGTTCTTTTTCTCAGTAGCTCTACTACTGATTGCTCCTTAATTGCTGGAGCACCGTTCTGTACAGAGTGAGCACTCAACAATTATGCTGAAGAACTGCCATAGCACGGTGCACATGGGTAATAACAAAACAGTTACAAGTCAAAGCAAGCAAAAGAGATCCAATAGGCACAAAACAGAGCATAATGGAAAAATATAATGAAAACATATAATGACATCTGAAATACTGACACATACACGGCTGTTAAACTAGTAAGCTGCATTTTAAGCAGTTAAATCTTTTTTTTTTTATTCTAATAGCTATAATCCTCTGGTACTTCAAAGAACAAGGGAATATTTGTGTTTCCCTCAAATAGAGTATCAGCTTAACTATTGTTAAATCCACTTCACATTCCTTTATAGCCAGTTCTAAGAAAGTTACCCAAAAGAAATATTAGAACCACAAAAAGTGATGACTGCAGTCAAAATATACTATACATGAGTTATATGACTGCCAAACAAGTGTTCTCTATAATTACCTTTTAAAACTGAAGCTTATTCATGTTTTCAAGTGAAAGGAAATATACCCAAGAAAAGCTAAGCCTCAGTGAGCAAAAGAAAGCTCATGGAGGACCGTATTACAATGAAAATGCTGTTGTGGTCAATTTATATTTTGTAAATTAAAAAAAAAATTTTACTCACAAAAGCTTTTCTTTAACACCTCTCTTTCAAGAAGTGTAATTGGATAGTAGATGGAAACATCAATCTCATATACTAACAGATTGAAAGAATTTAGTGAGCCAACTTGAACTTTGAGTAAGATGATACTGTTTTCCTTTTTCTTAGAATGTGCCACATATAATAAGTCATTTGACCCTTCTCTGCTACAGCTTTCTCCAGTGCCTCATCTCAGCAAGCACTTGGGGAAAGGGGATGCTTCAACTAGAACATAGGCTGGAACAGTGGTTCTCAAATTGCAAACTCCAGACCAGCAGCATCACTTGGGAACTTATTAGAAATGTGCACTCTCAGGCCCCACCCAGACCTACTAAATCAGAACAGGAGAGGTTTCAAGTATCTGAGATTTGCCACACTCCACAGGGGACTCGGATGCAAACTAGAATTTCACTACCACTCACCATGAGCACAAGCCTGGACTCCTGCATGGTGCCCACCCTGGCCATGCTGCTTATGATGCGTTAGAAAATTTCTACCAGGAGTACTGAACAGATCATCTAGAAATCATGGGCCCTATAAAATGCTGTTGGGAAATATAGGTAAAGTTTGTGTTCCTGCCAGCTGTTCTATGCCTGGCTCTACTCAATGCATGCAATACTTGTCTTTCAGGAAATGTGATGTGAACACAAATTTAATTACACCATCTGAGGGTCAACCAATGTGCATCTAAAATAACAAAACTATGTGTTAACAAACTCAGTTTGTTTCCTTTGCTTCCTATTGCTTTGCTATTTAATATGGGTTATCCAGATATTTATTATGACATAAAAATATTAATCCTAAATGTGGAATAAGGTGAACTAATTCATTCTCTTCATTCCCGCTTTTAACTTTGTGAGGCTTTTTAGTTTCCTTTCAGTTGAACGCTGATTTGTTATTCTTCTTTGATTTCTGAGAAAATTTACGAATACCAAAAGATAGAACTAGTCCTACCTACATTTTAATTTACATTTGCATTGTGTCCTCACTAATTAAATAATGAAAATAATCCTTTAATATGTGTACAATTACAAGTCTAAAAAAACATTTTATTCAAAAACTCTAGAAATACTTCAGTGTTCTTTTAAAACTGAACAGAAGGGTAGGAGTTAACAACAACAAAAGAGGCAGCCATGACCAAATGATAAACAGTCAACAGTCACCGCCAATATAAGACAAGTTTGAAAGGCCATAGTAAAATAAAATTCTTAATCACAACCTACCACAAGGATAACTCAATACTTGGATGTCATCAATGGCAATATAACCACTTCTCCCTCCTGAGACTTCGGCTTCAAATATTACCTGTCAGGAAGAAATAGAAAACATTTACAACAATCAGTTAGAAGCAGTTTTCAAAGCAGAAAAAGAGCAGCTATAAAATGCTTAAAATTTTTTCATTTGACTCTTGTTCTACAGGAATTAAAAATTTATCTTATAATGTAGAGTAATTTTCTAAACCTTGTACAGGTAAACAAAAGAACGTTTTTGGAAGAGCAGTCAAATTACTGAGATCAAGCAGCTCTCACTAAATTTTTTAAGTTCGTAAGTGCTATTAAGTGTTGTTAGATTTCCTGAATGGGCAATCTATAGGCAGAAGGAATAGGCAGACACAACAAATCTTATATCCCTATTTTTCCTTTTATTGATTTTCTCTATTGTTATTATTTATTTAACATACATTGAGCACCTAAAATATGCCAAGCAGTAAGCTAACCAGTGAAGAGATCAAACGATCAAAGCTTTCAAAATAGCCAAGTTTTTTAAAACAGAGGTCATCAGATAGATTAGTGGTATTCCAGGCAAAAAGAACAATTAGATGAATAGAATAGAATAGAATAGAATAGAATAGAATAGAATAGAATAGAATAGCAGTGATATATGTGGGGAACTAAATGAATGTAATCTGTATAGTAACAAAGGCTCAAAAAAGAAGAGATGACATTAGAGAGGTAGGGATGGAAAAACTTGAATACCATGAAAGTGATGTCAGGAGTATATCCTGTCAAAAGTTCCACATTAATAGATATTAAACAAACAAACAAAAAAAGTCTTGATGTTCAAAATGAGCTCATGTTGTAGAGTTTTGCTGTTACCATCAATAGCAGGACCTCATATCATATAGCCTTTCTTTTAACAATATGTGCTATGACTTTTCAAGAGAAAACAGGTTTAGCATGCCATATTTCAATATTTTCATTGACTATGGGCTCCTTTATTTGTAGAGATACATAGATTATTTTTTGGAGTATTTTGCAAAACATTTTAGGAACTGTAATGGAAACTGATGTCTATAGTAAGAAATATAATCAGATTGGTCTATCAGAAAGATATTTGGCTATACAATAAGGGGTGGCCTAAAAAAAAGACTGGAAATAGGCAGCTAGGTAATATGCTAGTAGCAGTGAAATGGAAAAATGAATTTAAAATAAGACATAAAAATTAAAACTAAGGAAATAAAGTAGAAGTTATTGACTCATTATTTGTGGTGAAATATAGGACAATTATGATTCCTGGCTTGGACCACTAGATGGATGATGCTATCAGCATCCCTAGCCTGGACTAGTGATAAAGAAAAAGGTACAAACTTGAGAGAGAAGATAACTAAGTACATTGCAGACATTGCAAACTTGAATTGCCCAGGATACATGTGGAGCTATGCTTAGGTGATAACTAGACAGGTATGTCAAGAAGAGAGAGGAGAAAACCACTGAAATGGGAGACAAAAAGGCAGCTGGCAGAAGTAAACCCAACAAAGTGTTATTCACACATAACGTCAAGGACTGAAAAGAAGTTCTCGGGAGGTTTCAGGCAGGTCAACATTCCCACCAAAAGCATTAGAAAAGGCCAGATACATTACAGTAACCCTAATTTTAAAAGATCAGGTATCTGCATAAACAATGGCATCTCTATGAACACAAATTTTAGGAGGAAAGTCTCTCGAGTGTGATCCTATGGTCTCCAGCCATGTCTCCTTTCCCGCGAGAATATTTGTCAATTCTGGGATTAGGCTGTGGTGCTAGCTCAGCACAGACAAAGGGCTTCCGATGGGAGAAAGTGAAAACAGTGAAACTTGCTGCAGTTGGGCAAAAACAGAACAAACTGGAGATTTGGGAGTTAGGTTAAAAAAAGAAAAAGAAAATATATAGGCTGTGGTAAAAAAAAAAAAAGAAATATAGGAAAGAGATCAAGAATAAAAACTAGAATTAAAAACTATCAATTGGCATTACTCATTAGGAGTCGTCTGGTAACTTTCTGACAACTTTACTATAGTGGAGAGGCAGAGGTTCATTGAAGATGATAATAATTAACATTTATTGAGCACTTACTATATGCAAGAGACTCATAAACTAGCATGCACATTCACATAAGCGTCTGTTGCTTCTCTCTCTCTGTCTCTCTCTCTCTCTCTGTCCCTCCCTCCCTTCCCTCCCTCCTTTCCCTCCCTCTCTCCTCTCCTCTCCCTCTCCTCTCCCTCACTCCCTCCACCAACTAACCCCCCACCTCCCTCCCCACCACACAGGCTTATGGCTCATGTAACCTTCATTACAATCACATGAGGTAGGTATGATTGTTATCCATAATTTAAAGAAAATTTGAGTAACCGGACCAAAGCCTAACAGCTACCAAGTGGTGGAGTCAGGAATGGACCCAAGCCAACCTGCCTCTGGGTTCTTTTCTTCCATCAGCTCCACTACACTGTCTAGCAAGATAAAGAAGCAAAGACAGTAAAACCGTTTCCTTTAAATGGGTTTTAGATTTCCTTTAAAAGTCCAAAGTGTTAAATAAAGAATAAAAAAAAGTCATTTTAAATAACACACAAATTAGGAACTATATTGACTAAATAGCGGTACCATCAGCATTCCCCCTTCTCATCCTCGTACCATGCTTCCATAGCCACCCGAACGTCAATGACAACAGGACACAGTAGGCTAGGGGGATGGCTCATCTCCCATCAATCCACTCCCATCTTAAACTTTCTCCTGTGTTATTTCTTTTCTACTTCACGGTTGCCCTTTATGACTACTGATTCCACTGGAATAAGTTGAAGCTGAGAAAGAGGGGAACGAAGTTTTTGTGGGAAGAGAAACACTTCACAATGAAAGGATGGCTAATCTATGGACACAAATATATGTGTATGTGTGTGCGTATACATGTGATTTGCATTTCATGTAAATGGGGCCAGCCGAGTGGTGCGTTGGTTAAGAGTTGGCTTGGGACGCCAGCTCTGAGCAGCAGGGCCCCAGTTCGGATTCCACATTAGGGCCAGTGACGCTGTGCCCTCTACAGCTATGATGGTGAACAACAGCTCGACCTGGAGCTGAGCTGCCATGAATCGCCGGCAACGGCGTAGGCTGCAGTGGAGCTGCAGTGGGCTGCCATAAGCTACTGTGAGTGGCCAGCAGCCAGCGTGAGCAGCCGTCCAGAGGCCAGCGACCTATCTGCCTCAGTCGGGAAGAGCGCAAGGATAATACCAACATGGGCCAGTGAAGTGACATCCTCCACAACTAGACTGAAGAACAAAAGAACAGCAACTTGTCTGTTCCCATTTCCCGATTCCCCAACGCTGTTCCCCTCCTCCAATTCCCCAATAAAATCTTAAAATAAATAAATAAATAAATTTCATGTAAACATATTTGATATGAAAACAACTGTCATCGCACTTTCTAAATACTGGAACAAGGTCTTAGCAAGACACAGGGCGGAATCAGACTTTAAACAATGTGTGACTTGAAACAAACTGTGGTAGAGGCCACTTTCTCAGGGGTGAGGAAAACTCATATTTGACTCCCAACTCTCCTGTTTACAAATTCTTAAATAAATCACATAACCTTTTAGAGCCATGTTCCAACTCCATAATAAAGATGTAATGCAATTTCTGTTATAATATTTTATGAGGATTAAATAGGACCATACGTAAAAGTGCTATATAAACCAAAAGGTAAGATTATCAACATTGTTGATATGTGAGATATGTGAGATTTGTTTAAGTGTATCCCAGGAAAATACATTTTATTTGCTTGAATGTAGTTCAAGGAAGAGGAAGGATGAGAAGGAAAAAGTGAGAAACCCATTTTTTGGGGGGGTAGGGAGGAGAACATTTTTATGAATAGACCACACATCTGTATAATTAATCATTGTTAGTTATTTCAGTTTCGTTGTAGTCAGCATTAAGTTATTTTAATTTCTAGGCTTATCTCAGTTTTACTTTCTTGGAATTGTTTAACTTCCTTTGCTCTGTATAGGTGATGAGTTTAAACATGATTACTACACCTCTGAGGAAAAGTTTATTTGTTCATTTAAATTGAGCTTTATTCTGGACAATAAATTTAGGCCTTGATTTAAAAGAATAGTTCTTTATTAAAGAAAAAGAAAATGTTTCTCCTTTTCAGTGACCTCATTTTCCCTACAAAGTGTTGTCTTTGCCTCATTAACGAAAGCTAAAGGAAATTTCTAAGATCAGATTCCTTTACTGCTAAGGATCTAATCAGTTTTATGACTTCAGCAGAGCCCTCACCTTTAAGGCTCTTCTGTCCACTCAGGGGAAACAAATCTCAACAGCTTAATTACACAAAGCTTGCTTGGGCTAATGCTCAGGTCAGGCCTAATGCTTGGTGTCAAGTAGTCAACCAGGGCTTCCCAGAAGAAGAGAGAGGTGGAAGCCATACCAGATGTCAACTTTAACCCATCCAAGAGGCCAACCTGGGAACAGAATAAATGGGCTCTGCTTTTCATGCTGTTTTCACTCAACTCCATTACCTGAAATACTGAAGGTAATGATTCTAATCAAATTTTTGCTACTCCAGCAACATTCTTGGATTATTAACTAAATAAGGGAAGTAAAGTTAAATTAAGGTGGATGGGGGAGGCAAGCCCTAAAGAACAAACACAATGTTATCCTTTGGTAAACTGAATTAATGCAGAAGAAGTGCATCATATAATGGAAAGCTGAACCCAAAGTCAAGAAGCCTGGGATCTAGTAACTGGTCCGCTATCACGTCACCCAAGCAAAATTTTTAACTGTGTCTTTGTAGTCTTATCTGGTCAATACTAGCATTGCTTATACCATAAGTTTTTGTGAAGTTTGAACGGTATATGTAAAATGATTAAAATATATATATATATGAAATACCACATAGTCCAAGACATTACAGATATGAGAAAAATCTGAAAAAAATTTGCACTCCTTTTTTTGTTCAATATATCATAATGTTAAAACCAGTGTTGGCTCCAAAGTCAGATATATATTTCGTTAACATTCTTTAAGTGTATCTTTAACTTATGGAAAAACATATGTAAAGTTA